GAATATTGCAAAGAAAGAGAGAGAATTATTATTGCTTTGAGATGAATTGCAATGTTATAGGACCCCTCTATTTATCGTGAAAGGATAATTTAGCCACCAAGTAAAGTCTCTCTAAAATATAGACTTCCATATTAAATAAAACCCTATTTATAACAGATATTCTAAATTTTGATCATTATAAATGTTACGCCGCGTTAGACAACGAAAACGTTACTAGCTGTTTGCAATTTTATAAACATGGTTTATCTCACGTAAACGAGGGAAGAAAGCATACCTTATTATGGTCATATTATATGATCAATTGGTGGTGGTGTGTGCACAGAAATTATACTAAATGGTAATACCTAAATCTGGAAATCTAATTTGTAATTGTAGATTCAACGACCAAAAGTTAAATTTGCTTTTTATTTTTTATTTTTGACGGTGGGGGTGGGGCATAAGAAAAGCACGCCGGACAATGGCTATTTATCTGTTCGATAAAACTATGCTCCTTTATCCTAATATTTATTAATTTATTTACATCAATTTCGTTTAATAATTGTGAGCATCATTAAATACTTAGGCAAAGTTTAATCACCTTTTTTTTTTTTTACAAAGAATTGTTAAGCGACTTTCTTTGATAAATACTTAGGAAAAGTAATTGAGTAATTTTTCGTGACAGAAATTGTTTAGTATCTTTGATATAAACTAAAAAAATTGGAATGACTATCCGTAAAGTAACACTGATTCAAATAAGAAATTGAACAAATTATTATATCTTAAAAGTCATAATTTTCCATTTATTGTAACTTAAATTTTTCCAAAGTTGCATGGCTAAAAAGTTAGAGGAGATGTTAGTTCCTATCAGAAAATGACTAAAATTAAAGGTAACAAAAAGAAGGCATCATATTCGCTTGAAATAGTGTTCATAGCACGATTAAAGAATTAGGTTCCAATAAAATATGGAATTTACACATTTATGTTTCCTCAAAGTATTTGTCCGAAAGCTCTCGTTCAAGGTTTTTAAAACATAGAAAAAAGATTCTTCCATTAATATCATTTAATGATGAGCTACACTCAAAGTATATAGTCGACCACCTTGGATTTATTAGTGCTTATTCTATTCTACATACATCAAAGGTCTAAAATATATTTATCTCTTAACTTACCTACATAGAAGGTGTAAAAGATATATTTATTCAATCATGTTTACCAAAAAACAATTGCAAGTATTTTCGAAGTTTGATTGTGAGAATGGATTAAATAATTCTTTCGTCTCAATTTGCATGCCAGATTTTTACTGTGCACAGAGTTTAAAAAAGAAAGGGAGGGATCAGAGTATTAAACTGCAAAAAGAGGAAGATGAGTCCAAGGTATGGCTAATGGTGCGGGACAAAGACAAGGACAGACAGAATTGAAAACCTGAATAAACAATAAGTCTTTAGTATTCTCCAGTAATGAATAAACTAGGTGGGTAATACACTAACATGACAAGTCAAATATATTATCTTATTTATTTCCAGCATTAGATAATTGCGAGCATCATTAAAATATGTGGAATTAGGTAAAGCAGGTCGGATTAATGAAGTAATTACGCGAGAGGATTAAGGAGAGTTAGGGTGATCATCAGAGTTCACGTTATGGAAGGTTTTATTTCATTTAGCAACTTAAAGAGGCTATCCTGGATGTGGAAATCCAAAATGTTTACTACGTGTAACATAAAACTTAATGATTATATGTTTACATACACACATGCATATAGATACTCCTAACATAGGAAACAACTTAGTGAGAATAAGATTTGGTGGTTCTTGCTGTTACATAATGTTACATTTGATTAGGTGTTTTTTTCCTTCATCTGATTAGGTGTTTGCTAGAAATTTATTGAATCCGCTTAGAAACTTGTATATTTGTATAGTGATAAGTTTTAGATTAATAATAGTAAGTAATTTACTTTGAAAGCAAATTATCTACTATTGAAATTAGGGTGTCAAATGGATGAGTTGGACTGATTTCGAGTGGGTCAAAATGGACTGAGTCAATAAATGAGTCGATTAATGACTCGTCCAAAAGTAATTTGCTGAGATAGGCTGGTTCAAGATGGGCTAAAATTTGGGTCAAAATCCAACCCACCTAACTCTTACCAAGCTTTTATTAATGCGTATTATTTTCTTATGAATTGTTTAATTATGAAATAAGACTTTTTTTTTTTCTTTTATTGTGTTAAATAAAAAATTATTTTAGATATATTTTAGCAAAATTACTCATGAATCAATTTGGGCTAAATATCAGTCCAACTTTAGATGGATTGAAATGCAGTGGGTCAAGATATCACTACTAAAAAACATCTGTTTACCGACGCAACAGTACTGACAAACTTTTTTTCCGCCGGTATTCAGAAGGACTTTCCGACAGAGTCTCTTGGTACTTTTGAACTTTTTAATTTCTAATTTTTTTAAAAAAGAACCGACGGACTTCCGTCGGTAAATAATGATATTTTGACCGGTCAAAATTTAAATGGTTGTACCGATGGGGTACCGACGGACTCCGTCGGTAATTTACCGATGGACTCCCTTGAAACATTTTGTATTTATATTTTTGAATTATTTTTTTAGGTACCGACAGTGTCTTTCGGTACTTTTAAAAAAATAAATGAAAAAGAAAATAAAGTTATCGACGTAGTCAATCCTATTGCATTTACATAATAATTTGAATTTTGTTCTTACAGTACTGATGGACTTCCGCTGGTAATTTAAATATATAATCTTATAGATAATTATTTTGTATTTTTTTATTACACAATACCGAAGGAGGCTATTGGTAAGTCCCTCGATAAGTATTTACTTAATTATCTTAGTGGTTGATTAGCCTATTTATTGAAATTTAAACTAAGTGGAGGTAATACACTACTTAAAAATATATTAGTGGCAATTAGTTTAGTAATTTATAATCACATAAAGTAAAAGTGAATTTGTAGTATCCTTAACTACATAGATTAACCTATACATTAATAATTACACACTAAGAAGAAGTGTATTAGTCGTTTCCGTAAGAAATATTAGTGATGGTTTATCTTATAAATTGATAATTACTGTAAGTAGAAGTGAATTAATGCATGGTGTCTTTAAGTAACTTTAACAATTAGTGAACTAGTGGTATCCTTGTATAAGTAATGTTAGTGATTGATTAGCCGATATATTGATAATTATACACTAAATGGAAGTGTATTAGTGATATTTGTGAGAAATGTTTGTGATTGTTTATCTTTAGTTTGATAATTAAAGTAAGTGGAGGTTTATTAGTGGTATCGTTAAGTAATATTAGTGGTATTCTGAAGTAACGCTAGTGATTCATTAGCCTATACATTGATAACTATACTAATTAAATATGTATTAGTATAGTCTTAAAAACTATTACTAATTCATTAGCTTATGCATTAAGAATTATACTAAGTAGGAGTGTATTAGTAATATCAGCAAGAAATGTTAGCGATTGATTAACTTATAAATTGATAATTACATAAAGCAAATGCATATTAGTGGTATGCTTAAGTAATGTTAATGATTGATTAGCCTATCTATTAGTAATTACACTGATTAAGTAAAAGTTTATCAATAGTAGTCTTAAGAACTATTACTAATTGATTAGCTTATACCTGAGAAATGTTAGCGATTAATTTGGTTATAAATTGATAATTATAAAAAGTAGATTAGTATTAGCGGTATCCTTAAAGTAGACACTAAGTAGACGCGTGTGTGTGGCTATATATATATATTAGAAGTGTATTGGTAGTATTCTTAGTTCTCACACTCAGCAGAAGTATATTAGAAATATATAAATAAGAAATGTTAGCGATTGGTTAGCTTATAAATGGATAATTACAGAAAGTAGATGCGTATTAGTGGTATTCTTAAGTAATATTAATGATTGATTAGCCCATGTATTAATAATTAGACTAATTAAGTAGAAGTATATTAATAGTATTCTTAAGAACTATTACTGATTGATTAGCTTATACATTTAGAATTACACTAAGTAGAAGTGCATTAGTAATACCAGTAAGAAAAATTAGTGATTGATTAGCCTATACACTGAAAATTCTACTAAGTAGAAGTGTATTAGCAGTATTCTTAAGAAATATTACTCACTGTTTAGTTTATAAAATGATAACTACACTAAGTAGAAGTGCATTAGTAATACCAGTAAGAAAAATTAGTGATTGATTAGCCTATACACTGAAAATTCTACTAAGTAGAAGTGTATTAGCAGTATTCTTAAGAAATATTACTCACTGTTTAGTTTATAAAATGATAACTACACTAAGTAGAAGTGCATTAGTGATATCCTTAAGTAATATTAGTGATTGATTAGACTATTAATTGATACTTAACTACGTGAAAGTGGTTTAGTAGTATTAGCTTGTAAATTAATAATAATATTAGCTTATGATTTATTTTAAATTATTAATATTAATTTCATTATTAATTAGTGCTAAAAGATAAATTACATTGAAAATATTACAATTATGGGCATAATATTTTCAGAAACTTAAATATTAAACATAAATTATACAGTAAGAAGAATTATATGTTAGGTCTTTGTAAAATATTAGTTTGATTGTCATTGATTCATAGTAATTTGTTAGCTAGAATTTAATTAATTGTCAGTTTGATATTTTATATAATAATTACATACTAGGTAATTTGTTAGGTATGGTATTTGATATTTTTTTTAAAATATCGAAATACTGATACCATACCGAAATATATACTAAATTACATAATATATATATATATATATATATATATTATTTATTACATAAATATAGTTGTAAAAATTTACTTCCCTTTATTCTTAGTGTTTTTTTATAAATATTTCCCACCGTTTATTTTCACTATACGTTCCTTTCCCCCCATTTTTTTGGTTACTCGCTTACACCCAGTTGTTTCCTCTTTTAGTTTTAGGTTTAGAAATATAAAACCCACCATTTTCATACCTTACTTCAACTTAGACATACCATAGACAAATCTCTCCAGCTCTCTCGCTGTGAGCTGCGCCTGGTTTCTAGCTTTTGCCTTCTCTCGCGGTTCGCAACAGGTATGATCTCGATCTCCCCCCCTCTCTATCTAGCTATCTATATTCTGCTACTCTTCTCTGTTTCATCTCTCTCTCTCTCTCTCTCTCTCTCTCAATCTTCTGCTCATTTTCTCTGTGTGTTCATCTCTTTCTCTTTAAATGTTTGGTAAGTTATTATTGAAAGAAGATATGCACAAGTGGGTTAGGGTTTTTGATACAATCAAAATTACTGAAAGAAGACAAATGTGATTGCAATATTGTAGTAAAATTGAGTTTTGATACATTATTTTTTATGTTCTTTTGGTGGTAGATTATCGTTTCTTTGCTCTCAATTTTCTTTTTTACTTGATTCTAATGAGTCATCTTTATTATGGAATTGCCCTGTTGCTTTCATTCTATTGCTCCAAGAGGAAACATTATTAATGTAATTTTGTATGTTGCAAAATTTATTAGTATTAATTGTCACGACCCGTATTTTTCACCCTCGGGAGTCATGATGACGCCCACTCGTGGAAGCTAGGCAAGCCGCGAAATAAAGAATCACTAACTCTTTCATTTTAAGCCTTTTTAACAATTTGGATTAACAGGTAATCAACATTGATTATTAACGATAAATAAAACAAGCGGAAGACTTAAACTGATAAAATAACCAAAGCCAGTACTACAATGCCAATATACACCTCTACCCGGAATCCGATGTCACAATATCACGGACTGTCTATGAGTACTACATACAAGTGTCTGAAAAGAAAATACAATGTATCTCGGAAACAAGTGAAAATAGAACACATAATAAGATAGAAGAGAACGTCGGCCCTACGGACGCCTGCAGGACTACCTCGGTATCTCTAGCTGGACTGAAGGCAGCCACCCAAATGCTATGGTCCAAGAGCTTCTCCGGGATCTGCACATAGTGAAGAGTGTAGCATCAACACAACCGACCCCATGTGCTGGTAAGTGCCTAGCCTAACCTCAACGAAACGAGGCTAGGACCAGACTACCAAATAAACCTGTGCAGTTATATAATATACAACGGAAAATAAAACAGGAATAAACAAGTAAGGATGGGAGGGGGTACATGCTGCGGGGGAATATCAACATTAACAGTAAATCAAGAGAAAAGGCATACGGACAGCTTAGAATTCCCAACAAAACAATAAGGAACTCGTAATCAATCTATAAACACTTTGTTTCATCAATTGTTGTGGCGTGCAACCCGATCCATATCATTCATTACTGTTGCGGCGTGCAACCCGATACAATTATATCATTGTTGCGGCGTGCAACCCAATCCGATTATATCATTGTTGCGGCGTGCAACCCAATCCATATATAATATTGTTGCGGCGTGCAACCCGATCCACATGTAATATTGTTGCGGCATGCAACCCGATCCAATTATGTTATTGTTGCGGCGTGCAACCCGATCCAATTATGTTATTGTTCGGCGTGTAACCCGATCCACATATACAATCAACAACAATCATAACAAGAGTCCCTGCAAGGGATCAATAAAGAACTACACTATCCCGGCAAGGGAATCGACAATATAAGTAACTACGTCCTGGCAAGGAAGAAACAACTATAACCAAACTTGTTTCAACATTTAACTACCTCAGCTAACACCAATACTCAGTCATGAGTAATCTTCACGAGAATAATCATAATCCTTGCTCAATACAGAGAATCGTCAACTTAAGCATCCGTAGTATTATTTAAGAACACAATAAATTACAATTTAAGACTCATGGTCATGCTCGACACCAACGTATAGATACTCGTCACCATGCTTATACGTCGTACTCAACAAGAAGCAAGTAGCAAATAGGACACAACTCCTAATCCCTCAAGCTAAGGTTAGACCAAACACTTACCTCGAACTTCCACGGCCAACTCAAGCTTCAAACATCTTTTTTCCTTTTGAATCCGGCTCCAAATCAATTGTATCTAGACATAATCGATTTAATAACATCAATAAACGCTAAACAATCCAATTCCAATGCTTAATTATAGCTTCCCCATCATTCTTCCCAAAAAGTCAAAAATTGACCCTGGGCCCGCTTGGTCAAAACTCGAGGTTCGGACCAAAACCCGATCACCCATTCACCCACGAGCCCGAATATATAGTTAGTTCCAAAAGTTGACCCCAAAATAAGGTTTAAATCCCAAATATACAAAAAGCCCTAACTTTACCCAAATCCCTAATTTTCTGCCCTTAAAAATATGATTTAAGCCTAGAAATCTAATGGGTGTTAATGGAAATTGAAGAAAATGAGTCTAAGATTACATACCTATAAATTGGTGGTGAAATCCCCTTTCAAAAATTGCCCAATTTGGAGTTTGGAAGAAGAAGTTATGAAATTTTTGGTTAAGTCCCGTTTTGCTTCTATTTTAAAAATCACTGACAGGCCTTCATCGCGTTCGCGATAGGCCTGTCATGTTTGCGATGAGTTAGGCCTCAGTGACCTTCGCGTTCGCGACATTGGGCTCGCGTTCGCGAAGGGTATCCCCCCCTCGGGCTCGCGTTCGCGAAGAAGAAAACTGGCGCATGGGATATTTGCCTTACGCGTTCGTGAGTGGGACCACGCGAACGCGAAGAACAAAATCCCTGGGCACTGAACAACAGAAACCTGCAACTTTTCATAGTTCAAAAACTTTCCGAAACTCATCCGAGCCCTCGGGGCTCCAAACTAAACATATGTACTAACTCAAAAACATCATATGAACTTATCCGTGCAATCAAATCGCCAAAATAACCTCTTAAACAACGAATTTAACATAAAAATCTAAGAAAAATTTCAAAACTTTCAAAGTAGGAAATTTTCACAACTACGAGTCCGAATCACCTCAAACGACTTCTGTTTCTTACCAAATTTCACAGACTCATCTTATTTCACATATAAGACCTGTATCGGGCTCCGGAACCAGAATACAGGCCCGATACTATCAAATTCTAAATGCATTTCATTTCTAAAACTCATAGAAATTTCTAGAAAATAATTTTCTTTAAAAATTCATTTCTCGGGCTTAGGACCTCGGAATTTGATTCTGGGCATACACCCAAGTCCCATATTTTTTCACGGACCCCCCGGGACCGTTAAATCACGGGTCCGGATCCGTTTACCCAAAATATTGACCGAAATTTAAGTTAAAATTTTAACATTTTTATAGATTTTTACATAATAGCTTTCCGGTTACGTACCTGTACTGTGCACGCAAATCGAGGTGATGCCGAAGGAGGTTTTTAAGGCCTCGGAATGTAGAATTCATTTTAAAAACAAGTGATGATTTTTTGGGTCATCACATTAATATTGGTTTAATGTTTCATTTTTAAGGTTACTAATTTATACAGTACTTACTACAGACAATCTGTATTAGTTTTAATTTATTGTAATATGATAGTGGAAAGTTTTATACAATATCATTTACTCCTATAAAATTAGATCTGTTTGAGTTTTCTTTTCTTTCTTAGTTTTCTGCAATTTGTACTCCTCTGTAAATGACATATTATTAAATTCATAGCTCTACCTCTTGCTCTTGCGTGTGATCTCTTTCATAGGAACTTAAAAAAAAGGTTTTTGTCTACCTTAGTATGTATATGTTTAGTGGTTTACATAAACACAGTTGGATTCATTCTTGATTCTTCTACCTTAGTATCTTATAAAAGGCTAGAGTAAGAGATGATACTAATATGGCAGAGTAATACAGAGCAAGAAAATATTATGTAGAAAATAATAAATTTGTTGTTTATATATATAGATGGAATATCGTATGTGGATGTACGATAGGAATCTTCCTAATCGGCGGGGTTTAAGAAATGAATTTGTACAAGGTGTTGATGAGTTTATTAATCATGCTAAGTCATTTAGCAAAAATAAGGAGATGATTAGGTGTCCTTGCGCGAAATGCAAGTGCAGAAAATGGTTGAAACTAGAGAATGTTATGACTGATCTATATAGTAAGGGCTTTATGGATAATTACTATGTGTGGACTAGTCATGAAGAGACTGAGGGTAGTGATGGTAATATTTATAACCATAATTTTGATATTGGTGAAAGTAGTCAAGATCCTAGATTACATGAAATGGTTATGAATGCTCTTGGAATGTACAATGAGGGTGACAACTCTCTTGATTTTAAAAATCTCAAAAGAGGAGATTCCTAATTATTTAAAGATCTCAATCTTAATTTTTTCTAACATTACTTGAATTTATTAACTCTTTTTGTTTCATTTGCAGGAATATGCTCTTAAGAGACCCGCGAAACATGATGAGGTTTGGAAGAAGACCCACACAAAAAGCAAAGTCGGGGAAGAAGCTTGGGTTGAGCCGCGGGCAGAGGAGGCTTATGTAAGATCAAGATTAACTTAAAATTCTTTTATAATGATTGTTTATATACTAAAATTCTCTTTTAATGTAGAATCAGTATAAAGAAGCTGTGGAAGAGCTCGTTAGGAGTCAGCCGACCGATGAGTAAGGCCAGCTAATCATGCCATCGGAGGAAGAAACTCTCCCATTATGGCTGAACGTGGTTGGAGGCGTGTATAAGGGTAGAGCATACGGCCTTTCCTCCGAAAGTAATTTTCATCGCCTCGCGTGTGGACTACAAAGTATATACTTTTTTGGTTAATAAGCTCTTCTTTTTGTTAAGAAACTCTAAAGTTTGCAAATACTACTTATAGGCTATCCTTTCCAGCTAAATGTTTTAAGTCTTCTGTGAGAATCTTTAGAGATATTCAAATAGATATCCTTAACCTTCTATTTGAATTATTGAAATTTTTAAGCATAGGATGACAACATAAGCTTTTGGTGATTAGATAAAAAGAAAAACAACATTGACATTTTGATTTAGTTAGGGTCAGAGATGTACTGCTGATGCTATATTCACCAATCACTGGCCTTTAACTTCAAATGTAAAGTGGGAATCAAAAATGAATTAAACATAACCTTTCTCAATTACCAACTAGCAAGTAAAGGGATGGAAAGGAAAACTACAGAGAAAATAGACATGAAAAAATAATATTGTTTCCTTTTGAGAAAATATTCAAAAGGAACTCATCATATCAGCCTGATAAGAAACAAAAGACTGATACTTAACGTATGACGTAAAACTATACTTTCATTGACCAAATGGTGTAGAAAGTTCATCTGTCTCCTACCATAAGAATAAAAAGTTAGAAAACTTAATCTGCCTATATTTTGTATAACTGGTGCCTTGTCAAGTCACATAAGATTGTTTGAGAAAAATTGAAGTTTGACTTGGGAATTTTGGTTTCCCTATTAAGTTCAGAGGCTTATGTCCACTTTAGCTATTTGCACCTCACTGATAAACACATTGTACATTACAATTCTAAGAGTGTAAATACTTTGAAATATTCCTATGCAAAAGGAGTAAAGCCAGCTAGCATGTAAAAGGAAAACAAAAGTGAACTAAAAGTTTACCCAGGTTATAAGCTTGGTTCTTTCCTCCAAAAATGATTCTATGTTGGCTTTCTCCCAGTTAGAAGCTCCAGTAAAATAACTCCAAAGTTGTAAACATCTCCTTTTGCTGTTGCCTTTTGAAGTTTATATTTACCTAGTTGAAGTTTATGAAGTTAGGTGTTGAGTTATTCAATTCTAACTCTTCGTGTATTTTTTCCACTTCTCTTTTGTGGATTACAAGGTATTGGGACATCCGCCACCATGCAAAATGAGGACCTTGAGGAGATGCGGCAAATAATTCAACAACTTTCTAGGAATTGTGTGGATGAACGAGAAAAAAGAAAGCATGAAGAGAAGATTAGAGACGCACTTAGGAATGACATTGACTCCCTCAAGGCTCAAGTGAACCATTTAATCGGCTTGCCATGCTCTCCACCAAAAGACATTTATGAAGAAGATGAAAGTGATGGAAATAATACAAACGACGAAGAAGATGAGGAGTAACCCGAAGATTAGTGATCTTATGTTTGGTTGGATTGTTGTTTAGTTGGATGTTAACTTTAAATGTTACGTTTTGATGTTTGGTTGGATAGTATTGATGTTTGATGGGATAATTTGGATGTTTGGATATAGTGTATAAAGTTTTTTTTGTTGTTAAGTTGAGTTTTATTGTGGTTGCATTTTAGTTTGTATTGTAATATTCTGCTGGTAGGTGGTGCAACAAAAAATAGGCACTGTCTGTCAAAAATGTACCAGATTTACCGAGTACCGACAGAGTCCGTTGGAATAATTATTCATTTTCAATCAAGAATTCTTAATTAGCGAGGGAGCTCGTCGGTATACTTGAACCAAATTTTCAGATTTTGTTGAAAATACCGATGGATAGCCATCGAAATATGAATTTATTCATATTTTTAATTATTATATTACTAAATTAAAATTCTAAACTTACAGATGGTGTCTGTCGGTATTATTAAATTATTATTTTTAATTTATTAATGGATATCTGTCGGTATTGATATTATTATTATTATATTATTTTATAATATACCGACGGATATCCGTCGGTAAGTAAAATTATTTGACCAACTGCTGTAAAAAATGTACCGATGGATTTCCGATAGGATCCATCGGTACTTACCGATGGATTTTCGATAGGGTCCGTCGGTACTTACCGACGGATTCTGTCGATATATTTTACTGAGGAAGGATTTACCTACCATCTGTTTAACCAAAAAAGTGGAATTTCGGTTAAAGCCTTAATTTACAAGAACTTGGGTTACTGATAATCAAAGAACGCATAAAGGAAAGTGATTTTTGCCAATAATAAGATAACAAAGTAAAACCAATGTATTCAGATTGTATTTCGTGTCTTTACAATTGACCCATTCTTTCCCTTTATAGCTATCTTGGAAATATGCGTTTTGCCTTTGTCATAATAAGACCATTATAGACAATTAAAGACATTAAATGTTACGTTACATAATCATTGTATTTTAATACAGATTCTCTAACGTTTTTAGTATTTAATGATCATTAATACTGTATCTGTACTCTCTTGTGCTGTTAGATTCATTCTCCTTAATTCTTGGACTTAAATAGGTACGGGCGTTGAATCTTTTGAGTATCCGCTCGTGCCTCCTCTTATGCATTTGCTCGTATCTGTTGCAACTCGTTCCTCTTTGCCAATCATAACTCTTTGACCAGCCTACGTGTCATGACACATCATCTTCCAATCACTTTAATATGTAAACTCAATTTTTTTCAATGCAGATAGTCCCTCCACTTGCTATTTATTCATCAATTGAATATTTGGGAAGTGGAATTCATTAAAACGGGAATTTTTGTCACCATTAATGCTATAGCAGAATCAACGCTTCATTTGTCACTTCCATTTAATGCTCTTCACGTGTGGCACCCTCTTTTACTAGTTCTGCAACTTTGCAGTACTTTTTAGGGCTTTTTCACGGCTTCACTAACCACGAGGTGTCACTTCCCATTACGACTTTTCCATTATTGCACCTTTTCCTTTGACGGTTGCTTCCCAGTATCAATATAGTTTTCTTATTTGTCTTTATCACATAAAGTTCTCAAAATATTCAGTTCTTGAATCTTTGTTTGTTTCTTCCTCGTACTATCATGTCTTCATCAAACCCTAACCCAAGAAGCGTCCCCATAGTTGATAACTTCTCTAATGCCCCCAGTAGGAGCAGAAGAGGAGGTAGGCTTCGTAATTTAGGATCTTCATCCTTGCGTGGTTCTTCTCTTCCTTCGCCTAATTCTGGCCCTTCTTCTAGAACTAGAGGTTCTCTTTCACACTAATCTTCTTCTAGAGGTAAAGAATCTTCTGAACTTCTTCGTGTACCTCTAGTAGAGGAGATAGTTCATGCGGAACTATCTTTTTATAATGACAGAGAATCTCTTAGAAATCAAGTATATTCTTTAGATCGTGCTGATATCTATCCCACTCAAATCACTGAAGGTTTGATTTCTTTAGTTCGCAGAGACTGTCATTGGAGTCATGACTTTCCTATTATTATTCCCAATCCGAATCAAAGAATTACCTCTTAATTAACCGGTTTTTCCTTTATCTATACGTACCCTTTCACATTAGGATTCAAACCTGCTATTGATCCTGTTATTCTCGAGTTTTATCGTTTCTTTGATGTTTGCTTAGGTCAAATTGGCCCAATAATATGGAGGGTTGTTGCCTGTTTGAGGCATTTGACCAACATATCTAGTGTGCTTTTTACTTTCCCACATCTAATTCATCTTTACTCCCCTAGACTCTTTCGCAATGGTGTTTTTACACTAGTAGTCAGGAGCAAATGAGTTGTAGTTATCCCTGAAGATGACAAAGACCGTGGCTGGTATGCCAGGTTTGTTGCTGCCCCCACTGTTGGTTTAGTGGGCCATGAAAACGTTCCCTTCCCTGAGAAGTGGAATTTTGCACGTGAGTCTTCTAACTTTCTCGTACCTTTTTCTTCAATTTTGTTAATTTTTCTAATTTTACTTTTCTTTTCTAGCAACCAGGGAGTTGTGCAAGATGTTCCCAATTTCCGTGATTGGGTAGGAAGGCTATTGAGTATTGCACCAATGGATGATAGATCTTGGAAGTACCTTTTACAATATTTTGGTTGGAAAGTAAAAACTCATGGTAAGAGCTTTTATTTTATTTTACATATTGTTTTTTCCCGAACTTATCTCAATCCTTCTTTCTATCAGGATTT